ATTTTTCAATGGGGTTTCAAAAGAGAAAAAGCTCAAGAGCTTTGAACATAAAGCAAATTACTGGATTTGCTTATTGTGAACATACTGATTAACAGAAAAAGCTATTAAGGAATAAATTAGCAATGATGAATTTTACTTCAGGTATGCCACTGCATTCCTTTACTCTTCATAAAATATTTGTGCCTCTTCACCATAAAGTGAGTGTAGATGGGTTGTGAGTTTTCAGTGTTGCATTTACTTTCATCTCACTTGAAATAGGCTTTATTTTGATGGAAGAGTACCGTTTTCAGTATGGTGACTCAGAAGGCATTGGGGCTGTTGGAAGTGATGGAAACTGCACAGCAGGTAAAACCAAACCAAACCAAATCAAAACCAAATCAAAACCAAACCCAGCACTTTCACCTATAAAAAAGAAAAAAACATGCTTTGGCAATGAGGAGTTGTAAAGGGGTAACACACAACTCTTCTAAGATTCAATACATCAGAATAACACATTAACAGCATGTTCAGTTCAGAAAAACAAAATATTTTTATGTTGATCATCCCTGTTCCTGTTTGTTCTTGACTTTTCTCTCTCAGTCTAGTCTGAACTGTCAATCCTCATTGATAACCACTTCTTGCACGTTTCCCCAGCAGATGATGACCATAGCTCCAGTGCTCCTTATCTTTCCTTATGAACCTTCTTTATCACTGTCATACAAAACCATTATCCTTCCTGTCACTCACGTATTAGCCTTTTCTTCTCCCCGTGCCTTATCCTGTAGGCAATATCCAAATACAGCTACATTTTCTTTAAAATTTTTGGAAGCTTCTTTTCCTTTCTACATAGCTATATCTTTCCTCTTGTCCTCCATCGATCAATGCGGGCTGGTTTTCTTTTACACCTCTGACACTCACATCAGCTTTTCTCCACCTCAGTATTACCACAGGTGCCGCAAAGATCAAATTAATTAATCTTTCTTCTCCCTGTCATTTTCCACTCTAAATCTTTCCATTGCAGCCAGTTCAAGTTGTTCCTCTTTATCTAAAAGGCCTCTTACAGGTCTCTTGCTCTTTTTCACACCTGTTCATGTTTCATTCCCCATTGTGCTTTCCAATATTCTGCTCTAGAAATGTCTTTTGCCTTTGTCCATCTCTTCACTGTTCCTTAACTACAGGGGTCTGGAGTTTTCTGGTTGTTTTTTTTTTTTTTTCGTGGCTGCCTTCTCTTTGTGATAGTTTCCAAAGAGCTGTCTTTCCATTTGCGTGCATAATGCCTCTGAACTTTTGGTCTCAGTTATATGGTGCCCTTTTATCATTAGCCAAATAATTAAGGACAGATAAAGGAGCAGTCAGCACAGATGAAGAGCATGCATTTTATTAAAAATGCTCAATTTAAGTGTAAGATAGTTAATATACATATAATATATATTACACGTATTTAAAGGACATAAATGAATAAATATAGTTATGATAGGAAAATAATGCATCCTAGTGTTGCCACCTAATTTGCATTTCATATGTTATTAATAATCTTTAATGGTAACAGTTCTGGGAAAGCACTGATAAGGGCTGCATATAAAATATAGCTTGGGAACTATAACTATACACGTATAACTGTTATTATTGTTCTAAGTCAAGTTCTCTAGGCAGACTTTATTTTGCTGCAAAGTTAATGTGAAAGGTTGATGTGCCCCAATAAGTGTCTTGTTGCTAATAATTTGATCACATATTTTCTTCCTTGGTAAAAAAAAGCCTTAAACAGTTGACACAACACTTTTCAACTCAGTGAGGAAAAAACCAGAATAACTTATCTGCAGATGAAATAAAATCTTGAAGAGACATTTTTATGAAAAGCATATTTCACTAAAAAGTAATGTATGACCAATATAAGGGTTATTCTTGATATAAGAAGACACACTAAGGAACACTTCATGGCAATAGCATTAGTGTTGCAGGCTTTTTCTTGTAGAGAACCATGTAATGAAGCATAAGTGGAACTTTATTGCAAGCGTAATTGGTGTAATTTTGTCTTGTATCAGGCATTTCTCTGTATGGTTTAATGAGAAAACCTACCTTAACTTTCTTGCACCCAATGAAAACTTCAGTTTTTGACACTCTCATCATTAGCTATATGTAGTTTAACCTGTGTTTGTGAGAACACTTACCTTTTTTATTGTAGGAGCATGTTTTTTAAAAAAATGAAAGATACTACAGAACACAAAATGTTACATACTCAGCCAAACCAAGGGTTTTTAAAATCTCTGTAGATACACACTATATTAAATAGAAAAGCTGTTTCCTTTCTTCTTCTGTCTCATCCCTTCTGAAAGTCAGGCAGTTTACAGAAGATCTAACCTATGTCCTTCCGAGTGAAATTTTAAATATCCATTTATTTTTGCTCCCAGCCTCATTTTTTCTGTAGAAGTTGGCATGGCTTTAGCTTCATTCACCTAACCTTGCAATGGAAAATATTTGATATTAAGAGTGCTATATCAGCTTGTATTTTTTTCAGCAAGTCTGACAGTGTAACTTCTGCAACTGGTTTCCTTGGCACATGCAGAAAAGTCATAACCACAAAGCCCGTTTCCCCAGTGTCTTTTTGAGACAATCATGAGAAAAGATCTTGAAAACATTTACTGTGTGATTGAGTTTTGGCTTCTTCAAGAGAGCCTAAACTTTTGCTACTGTGCGTTTGGAAATCCTGATGGATTTGGAAATCCTTTGGAAGTCCTCTGTCACTGAAGCACTGAATGATAAACTGTGTGGACATGTAAAAAGAAGCACTTTAAGAGTGAAAGTAGAAAAACCAACAACAATGACTTTAGCTTTCACTGCACATATTGCAAAAGTAAATTTTATTTTCTTAGTATGTTTTTTGCTACTGGATTTTCCTTCAGCTCTAATGTATTCTCTCATCTCCACTTTCTAACAGCAAAACTAAGCTAGTACTTTTTCTTATAGTTTCAGTCTGGCCTTCACATGTGATTGAATGTACCCTAGAAGAGGACACAGCAACTGGTTTATTTGTGATTCTTAAATAAATGTGCAGAGTAGTAGTGGAAAAAATAGATAGCATTATCTCTGTTCTTAAAATTATGTACAAAATAACTAATCTTTCTCCCATCTCACAAAAACAAGACATAATAAATAAGGTTTTTTTATTATTTATTGAAAGCTGACAGCATACTTGCTGTTGTGTGAACAAGACTTTCTGCTCGTAGTATTTTGCTGAGGGCAGGTGCTGACCTCACTAATATGCAGGAGGGCTGTTTGCTCACTTCTTCAGTGCAGGCGCACTTTTTTCACTGGAAATGAACAATGGAGTTTAAATGTATGTTGTGGCAAAGGCAGGAAATCTTCATGCCCCAAAATATGACCAAAATAATGTTGGTGTGATGGGTTTGCACAGATGTTCACAGCCAAAGCAAATTTGTGGGTGCTTGACAGCCAAATAGGATAGAGTATTTGAAGGATTTCAGTAGCTGCCTTCCAAACTGCAGTAAAAGTTTGAAAGCTCACTTAAATTCAAGTGCTATACATTCACAGATTTTTTTTTTTTAAATTCTAGTCTGTAATTAACAGCATTATTGTGAAGATTGAAGGTTTTATGTTGCCTGTGGGAATGTTGTGAGTAGTATCCCATTGAATACAGAACGACATGTTCTTAGGTTACGCATGGGCTTAGCGTATAGCAGATATAATGCTATATGCATTGTCTGTGACATGTAAGAGAGGAACAAAGTAAAAGAGCGCTTAGCTGCATAGTAAAAGTCTTGGATACATGGGAAGAACTATAGTCAGTGAAATAATGTGGGGTGCCACATGTTCAGAGAACTTCATGGACACCAAGGTTATAAAATGCTGGCATTTGTCTTAACATAAAAAAAAATGCTAACAATGATTTTTTATTTATATTTGAGTAAATATGTATTGTGTTATTAAAAAAATAGGGATTGACAGACAAAAGCACAGTGTGATAACTGTGAATTGAGTAAGTCAAAGGACCATATGGAGTATAGTATTAGTTAAGTCACTCATTCAGACCTCATTAGACCCTCTGTTTTAGTAGCTGCTATTTATTTTCTTCACATTATCTCATTTTTTGCAGCAGTCTAGTTGCTATGAGTAAGAGTATCCTCATTCTTATGATATCTATAAAAAGAAGACATAAATATCTTCTTTTCATTTTTTTTAATGTTATAAAGTTAACAAAAGAAAAAGACTTTCCTGTTTGTAAAAATTATTTTCTTGGCCAACACAATGCAGAATAAATCTTCTCTGTTTGATTATTCACTCTGAAAGAAACTTGGATGGTGACTCCAACCAAGCTGTACAGATCAATGTAATTGCCACATCTCAGTCAGTTACAGGGGGTGATTGCTAGAATAGTCACATGGTTTCTTTTAATGTGCTGGGGATTTATTCCTCCTTATTTTGGGGGGGATACAATTATTTTTAAAATCATTGGTGCCTTAATCTTCAGTATCTTCACCGTTGCAATATCTCTCAGTGTGACAAAGACCTTAGACCTTGAGGAGTTTGGAAGAAAAAAATACAAAGAAGATAAAAGTACCATATTCATTCACTCCACTTTACTACTTTCTGCCAGTTTGAGAAAATTTGAGTCTTACTTTAATGCTTGTGTTAGAAGTGGTGGAAAAAATAACCCTCTGTAATGTATCTATTTGTGTAATTAGATGGCTGATATTGCAGTAATTCTTGGTCATCCCATCCTGTTCATGATTCCTGTTTTCACTGTTGTATTCTCCAGCAAACATGCACAGAAGAAGAAAACAGTTTTAGTAAAAAGATAACCATGTTTTTGTTTTTCTTTTTTTAACTGCATCTGATTTTAGCTAGAGGAATGGGAGAGCCTGTTTTCTTCCACTTCACTCTTTTCTTCTTTGGTTTTTATTTCTTTGAAAGGGTTACTGTGACTGGCTTGTAAGTAAGTGCTAGTGACATTACTGTGGGGAGCACAAGAGACACAGACTGACATGGATCTCATGTTTTTCCAGATGAGGATAGGCATTCACTCAGGATCAGTGCTGGCCGGCGTTGTTGGTGTAAGAATGCCACGTTATTGTCTCTTTGGGAACAATGTCACCCTTGCAAGCAAGTTCGAGTCAGGAAGTCACCCGCGCCGCATCAATGTCAGTCCAACCACATACCAGTAAGTCCTCTTAGCCTATTCATACTGTTTTTATTTAAGCCTATTTTGAGTTTGATCTTGTAACATGCTCTGTCCTCAACACATGAACTTCAACAGAAAGTCGGCAGGGCACCAGGAAAAGTGGAAAGACACGTTGCATGGGGCTGTCAGTCTTCTGTTTGCCATCAGAATGTGCAAAGAAGACAGACAGTGGAGGCAAGGAAGCAGAACAGGAGAGCCAACCATTCCTGCCTAAAATAATGTGTAACAGAAGAAGTGGGAGATATCTCCCATAGCACCATAATTTTATGCACTATTACAGCTTTAGGCCAAGGATTTGGGCTCCACCCACAAGACACAGTTCATGGAGAGAAGCACATTCTATTGGCTCAGAAGAAAGTCTTTGGTTTTGCCAGCAAGGCCAAGCTTTCAAAGAGTTTTTATACTTTCTTGAAGACAAAATTTCTTATGTAGTACTATAAAGAGACACTTGATAGAAGCATTTTCTTAATGTAAGAAAAAAAGATTGAAAATTGCAAAGCATTATCCTTAGCTGTTTGAAGAAATTATGCAAATAGAGAGAAAGCTTGATTAAATCTGGTAAGGAGGAACAGCTCCTAAATAAAAAAGGTGTTCCCTATTGTTCAAATTTGACAGCTTGACTATTAGAATTTCTGCTGCTTGCGTTACTACTGATGTACACACTTTTTTGGCAGGAGATCTCAATTTTACTCTTTTTCCAACATTCTCTATCTGAAGTAGTTTTCTGAAGTACAGTTTTGCTCAGGTTTTGGGACTGTTTCTCTGTGGTAAATCTGTACGTGACTGCTCAAACAATACTGCTTTTCTTTTTCTTTCCTTATACAGAACTGTGAATCTCAATATTTATTTTTCCCCATACCTATCTATGTAAATTAAAGTTTTGAATGGAATTTCTTCTTCAAAGAATTGAAGCTAAAATATAAATCAGTCAGAAGTTAAAATTTAAAAGTAATTAAAACTAGTGAAGAAAATGACATTCATCTGAAGAGCCCATTCACTCGAGATCATATTTATAGAATGGAGCAAGTGTAGCTAATTGAACAAGAGACAGAAAAACTGAATAGACTTTTGATCATAAAGTGCACAGAAGAAGGTTCATACAGTTGTCTGATAACATGCAAGAGAAACACAGACCCAACCTCCTATCAGGTATAGAAAACATGTTCATTTAAATAAAAAGAAATTCAGTAAATGCATAGGAAATTGCTGTTTGGAACTTGATGTCACTTGAAAAGAAACTGTCTTTGGGACCTTCCAGGTACAATGTTTTAGTGGCTTTGGTTTCTCCTATCCACAGTCGTCCACTGTGGGATAGGAGAAACCCTCTAAGACATTGCTTGAAAAGTGAACACAAGATTGTTCACCAATTGTGTTCTGGTTTTGAAAACTTACGCAGTAGCAGGGCCTTTGGTGTTAATTTTACACAAATGGAGGTAAGTGATTCTGGCAAAATGCAACCAAGGCCCAGTGACAGGGACCTGAACTTTTCTTATGCAGGAACAGTTCTTATAAAGGGTTGTTCTCCAACCTGAGAAGGTCTTTGAGATATTCTCAAAGTGCAGTCCATACTTTTTCAGAAGAGAGATCTTAGTGCTTCACAAATGTGGTTCAGGGATGTGATTCCACTCAGGGCTATGGTGTTGCTCAAGTTTGTGTCCCTGAGAACAGAAATTGGAAGCTAGACAGTTTCATATTATTTTAAGAAAAATACAGTTGGAAATATAAGTAGTGAGTGCTGGTGGGGCCAATGATGCACAAAACTCTTTTCTTGGCATGCTGAAACCAGAGTCACTTTCAGTGTGCCAGTGCCAGTTCTGTTGGTTTTGGTTATGAGCTTGATACGGCACCTTTTCTGTGAGACAACAGATTTGTGGTCATTGTTGAGCAACCTGATCTAGTTGAAGATGTCCCTGCTCATTGCAGGGAGTTGGACTAGATGACCTTTAATGGTCCCTTCCAACCCAAACCATTCTATGATTCTATGGTTGTGAGTTTTCTTTTCATCACATTGCTTTTAAAAAGTCCGTTCTGAAAGCCAGTTTGAGGGCTTGTGTACAGTTTGCTAGAAATATGTGCTTTTATGCTGCCCTTTATCTGACTCCAAGTACCTTACAGCACAGAGAAGATGGCTTCTGTTTGTGTCTTACCTCTACCTGGCTGCCATTGGTCACACCATACCGTATCAAGTCAAATGCGGGTAACCTGGGTTTGGAGAGCATTCTTACTAAGACCTAGCTAGCATAATGTGAGTCAGATTTTCTCACCCTGTATATCTTCCAGGTTGAAGAATGAAAAAGGGGTCTACAATTTTTTTCACTTCCCTTTAATCCTAGGAATCCAATAGGAATAGGACCATTTCAGGATAGCCAAACTTTCATCTTATATGATCATCATGTCGGGGCTTATCTTCCAGAAAGTTACAAATTTAGACTGTTGCTTTCAAAAAGGGAAGATAATAGAAAAGTGACTGACGATGCAGTAATGCCAGAACATAAAAATGCAAAACAAAACACAACAAAATACAGAACTATTGGTATTTGTTATCTGCATTATGGTACTATGTAAAAAATCTTCTACTATGTGCTGAACAAATTCAGGACTCAATTCAGAGAACTTCCAAGTGCAAGTAACAGGCTAGACACATGGTTAAAGGTAAAGGAAGTAGAAATGGCAAGAAAATACATGTTTGAATGAAAGGCAGTTATCATTGAAGATGAATGGCTAAAAGTAATGATGAAAAGGCTAGGAACTAGTTTATTTTACATGCTTCAGAAATTATATGAGAAAATAAAATGAATGTGCGTGGGGTCACTTAGAAAGGCTATTTCAAACCATACCTTCTGGCATGGTTGAAAGCATGAGAACAGAGAGGGAAAAAGTCAAGAAATAACACTGCTGACACAGTGGCCAGGAGAGACTGCAGTTACAAAATACTCTATAGGCCAGAATCATTCAGAGCTTCTGAAGGTGATCTGGGACATTTGAACATAATATACTGGTGCTATCCAAATAAACAAGTAGTGATCTTGTGCATCTGCATATAACTTTTCTTAAATATAATTTGCATGGGTATATAATTTGCTGTGTACAAATAAAGTGATTCATCGCAAACTGAAATGTCTTTATGGTTGACCTTATATGCCATCAAATGCTTCTATTTGATAATACTGTACTGCAGTGTACTCAGATAATATTTTTATTATCCAAGAAGCAATGTTTTCCAAAGCAGATAATTCTGCAATCAGTATAAAAATAACAGAATTTTCAATTAATTAAAACTACTGGCATTTATCATTACATGTTTGTGTCTACCATGCCCCCTGATGAAAATTCTGACACAAGTTTTGTGCTTACAAAGCATGCAGATACTGGAAACATGTTTAATACTTATCAGCTTTCATTTTACAGTACATATTATGCATTAGAAAGCGTCATCAGCATTCAAATTATAATCATACTTCAGAATGCCTATTATTGGTTTCAGATGCTTCCCTGCAAGCCCATAATCTGCCTATGTAAGAATAAGAGTCTAAAATTATAAGATGTGATGTTGCCTAGCAGCAGCAGTGAACCTGGGGCAGCCTTGCCAGTTACACCTGCCTGGGCAGAGCTCTCAGTTTGAAACAGCACCTTTTACAAAGGTGGCCTTTGAATCTGTTGGGGATAAGAGCTCACTTCTGTTCAAAATATCTTAGAATCATAGAATGGTTTGGGTTGGAAGAGACCTTAAAGATCATCTGGTTCCAACCCTGCTGCTGTGGTCAGGGACACCTTCCACTAAACCAGGTTGCTCAAAGCCCCATCCAACCTGGCCTTGCACACTTCCAGGGATGGGGCATCCACAGCTTCTCTGGGCAACCTGTTCCAGTGCCTCACCACCCTCATAATGAAGAATTTCTTCCTTATATCTAATCTAAATCTACCCACTTTCAGTTTAAAGCCATTACCCCTTGTTCTATCACTATGCTCCCTTGTAAAAAGTTCCTCTCCAGCTTTCTTGTAGGCCCCCTTCAGGTACTGGAAGGCTGCTATAAGGTCTCCCTGAAGCCTTCTCTTCTCCAGGCTGAACAACCCCAGCTCTCTCAGCCTGTCTTCATAGGAGAGGTGCCCAGCCCTCTGATCATCTTCATGGCCCTCCTCTGGACTCACTCCAACAGGCCCATGTCCTTCTTATGTTGGGGGCCCCAGAGCTGAACACAGTACTCTGGGGGGGTCTCATGAGAGCGGAGTACGGGGGCAGAATCACCTCCCTTGACCTGCTGGCCACACTCCCTTTGGTGCAGCCCAGGATACAGTTGGCTTTCTGGGCTGCAAGCGCACATTGCCAGCTCATGTTGAGCTTCTCATCAACCAACACCCCCAAGTCCTTCTCCTTAGGGCTGCTCTCAATCCATTCTCCACCCAGCCTGTATTTGTGCTTGGGATTGCCCTGACCCATGTGCAGGACCTTGCACTTGACCTTGTTGAATTTAATGAGGTTCGCATGGGCCCACCTCTGAAGCCTGTCAAGGTCTCTCTGGATGGCATCCCTACCCGCCAGTGTGTCGACCACACCGCAACAGCCTGGTGTCGTCGGCAAACTTGCAGAGGGTGCACTCAATCCCACTGTCCATGCTGCCAACAAAGATGTTAAACAGCGCTAGTCCCAATAATGTCCCCTGAGGAATGCCACTCGTCACTGGTCTCCACTTGGACACTGGACAAAGAGTTGATCGCAACTCTTTGAGTGCAGCCATGCAGCGAATTCCTTATCCACCCAGTTGTCCATCCATCAGATCCATGTCTCTCCAATTTAGAGACAAGGATGCAGTGTGGGACAGTGTCAAATGCTTTGCACAAGTCCAAGTAGATGATGTCAGTTGCTCCTCCCTTACCCACCAATGCTGTAACCCCATCATAGAAGGCCACCAAATTTATCAGGCACGATTTGCCCTTAGTGAAGCCATGTTGGCTGGCACCAGTCACCCCCTTGTTTTCCA